AATGACCATTTAGAGGGATTGAAATGCTTCTCATTCTCGTGTACGACGTGTCTGCCGCAGAGGCCTCAGAGAACATTCGCTCATCTCTAAATACGCTGGTGCTCACATACGCTCAGCGTGAGCTGTCAGACTGATGTATGGAGTATGAACGAGAGAGTGTTGAGCTGAAACATGGCGCTGAGTGAATGCTAATATGCCGTGGAGGCCCCAGAGCTTTAAGTCCACCAGCCATGTAAGCTACTGTCTTCTTTTCTTGTCTATTCTCGTCTCGATTTGTCTCTTACATACCATATTTTCACTTCTTTCATTTACTCTCTTATCTTCTTCTCATATCTTCTCTTCTCTCATATAATCTTGTATTCTTTTGTTTCATCTCATTTGTCACAAACTCTTCTTTTCTTATCTCAGTCTCTTATCTAATTTTCTCTCACATACTCTTTTCATCTCTGCTCAATTGTCTCAGACATAATATATTTTCTCTTCTTTCATATGCATTACTAGTTTCTAGGGATGCTCCGATCGATCGGCCAGAGATTGGTATCGGCCGATAATCACAGTTCATGACTAGATCGGTACTCACTATTTGGCAGATCTCATGAACCGATCGCAATTTGATGACGTCAACGCCACGTACATGATGCGTGGGGCATAAATGATTTTGAGCCACAGTCATGTCATTGCCGGTGTGAAAATGCTATGACGTTTCGAGAAACAATTAAAAATTTGCTATTTCTCGTTTTTCATGATATGATGAATGGATGGTTCATTTTTAACAGCAGATTCAGTGTTGTTAGAGCTGATCTGCGCCTCACTGCACATGTCTGCGGCGCGTTACGGCTCCACGGGAACCGGAGCTGATTGCGGCCGCTCTAGTCAGTGATTGTGTTTATACTGCAGCCGCGGCACGTTTCTGAAGCAGCTCTCCGCGCTGCTTGGCTAAAAAATAGTCTTTTGTGAGTTGGCACAGCATGGAGGACGGAACAAAACCTCGTCTGAGCCGTATCGCTGATCGTGGGCTGCTTTTTAAATGAACGTTTATTTATAAAACAAAATATCTTCGTTGGCCATATTAGCCTACTTAATAGCATTAACACAGGCTTTACTCCTTTCAAACTTTATCTGGAATGTCACCGTTTCTGTCTGCCACTTCCCGATCAGGCGAACGAACACACACACACACAAAATCGTCTGCCTCATGAAAAAAATGTAGTTAATATTTGCATCATTTATAATTTATTTGATCCTCCCGCGACCCACCCGCAAATAATCAGACTGCGTTTTATTACCCGACCCGTGAATTATCCGCAGCGCACGTGGATATAGGAAAAGCAAAATATGTTTGCTGCGTAAATCAGACGGACTTACTGAAGATGCAAATTCATTCTCTGCCAGCAGGAGGTGCTTTAAAGTGGGAGAAACAGAGGTTTCCCCGGTAACAGCTGTAGACCTACACAAAGTAGCGCTGAGCTCACAAACTCTGCTTTATCAGGCATATAACATGAAAGATGAAATGAAAATGACTTCGAAAATTTTCTAAAGATAATCTTACTTCAGAAATACAGTGAAATAAAAACACCCGCGCCTCGTTTTGATTTTTAAATGTGCAGTAAGTGCTCAAGTTTATTCAACGAAGCCTTTTGGAAAATCGGTCGGTTTTGATATTGTACAAATAATAAATGTATGGGAAACACAACCATCTGAGCCCAACTTCAGTCTACTCATCACCTTAACTTTAACTGCATTTATAGCCGGTGCCATAGCCAGACTGATAAACAAACACAGACCGGAAGTTAACTTTGGGCCGGGCCGGGTGAGTGCGCCTGATGAAACGTCTATATAAAGCTTGAAGCATCAGAATCAGCATCGGTATCGGCCGATCACCATGACAAGAAATCGGTACTCAGTATCGGCTGCAAAAATCCTGATCGGAGCATCCCTACTCCTTTCTTTTCATCTCCTCATTTCTCACAAAATATGGTCTCTTCCGGTCTCATCTCTTACATACTCTTACTTTCTCATTTCATGTCTCTTCTTGTCTCTATTCGACTGTTTTTGTCTTGTCTCACTACCTTTTCTTGCATGCTCTTTTCTTTCTCATAATCTCATTTTATCTTGTTCTGTATCTTCTTGTCTCTTCTCATCTCACATGATCTAGTCTATTTTTGTCTTGTTCCTTTTTTCACATACATCTTTTCAATCGTTTCATATACTGTCTTCTTCTCTCGTTTCGTCTTGTTTCATCTCACATCTGCCCTCTTCATTTCTCATCTTGTCTCTTCTCTTAAATACTCTCTCACATAATGTCTGCAAATCTCTTCTAGGGCTGCTCGATTATGGCAAAAAATCATAATCAATATTTATTCATTTTGGTCAATATTGTAATCACGATTATTTAATACAATTATTTGTGACCCATATGACCAAAACTTTATATGAGTGATTAATTTAAAGATCGCAATATATATCAAATATACATTTTCTATAAATAAGGTTGCTATGACATCTACATTTTAGATACAAGCGAAATTTCACAAATCTCAATACCAGCAGAATACTAAGGTAACATGTGAGTTAAAAAAAGTCCTCAAAAACTATTAATTAATAAACAGTTAGTAATACAAATAAGCAAAGGTAAAAAACAATAGAAAAAAAGATACAGATGAATCAAACATTCACATCAACATGTAAGAATTAAACTTGCTTTGCTTATTAAAGCTACAAAAGTCCTTCAGTCAAGAGCAGTGAGTGATTCTCTATTTGTCTTTTGTTGTTTGATTAATATTACAGATGGCAGAAGGAATATTACCTGTTGTCGCTTTAAGAGCTCCAAAAGCTAAAAGTTAACTTTACATGTTGGTGTTCTGTTCCATGTCGGATTGCAGGCAAAGAACATTGCAAGTTCTCTTTTGCGCTTTTAAAACCACGAACAAATCAAATAAATATGAATAAATCAAGCACGTCCCATTTTGCGAAAATCACATTACATGATTTTACTGATTTGCATGTTAAGATTTTTTTTTTTTGGAGGAGCAAAAGTGCACCGGTGGAATGGGGCATAATAATCATTTTGTCTCGGTTATTGTATTTTCATAAAGCTAAAATTGAAATCAAGACTGCATTTCGATTAATTGAACAGCTCTAGTCTCTTCTCATCTCACATACTCTCACATCTTGGCTAATTTCTCACAGAATTAAATCTTGTCTCTAATTTGCTTGTCTCATCTCATATATTACTTTATTATACATGCTCATTTCTTTCTTATAATCTCTTTTTTTCTTATCTAGTATTTTCTCATCTTATATCTCTTCTGTTCTCTACTTGTCTCATGTTTTACATACTCATACATCTGGTTTCTTTTCTCACATCTTTTGTCATCTCACTTATATACTCTCTTTTCTCTTCTTCACACCCAGTCTCTTCTTATCTAATCTTCACTCTTCTTGTCTAATCTCATTCATTGCCTCATGCTATTTCATTTAGTCTCATCACATCCCATTTTGTCTCATCTCATCTGCTCTATGTGCTTTTATTTATTCTACTTGCATCTGTAAAATACACAGAACACACACACACAAACGAACAGCATCTTTCCATAAAAATTCTATTGACTTTAAAAGCCTATTCATCCAGCAAGGGAATCTGGCTGGCTTTGACCCAAGGGCTGAAAGCTGGTGGAAGCCTTTGTAAGTAAGTGTTGCCTGCGAAATACACTCAGAAAGGGAACCAAGCCAAACAGGAAGTGGCAGCGTTAACCTAATTTCTGGAGAGGAAATGATTGGCCACTCCATGTGATTGGCTGTAATTTCATAGGCTTGCTGCATAAGAAAAATAGACGTGTTTGTGCACTAGCAGCAGGACACATTGAATACGCAGAAAGCCCATCCTATATCAACATCCCCACAGAGCTCTTCACAGGAGAATGTTTCCATCTGATTGTGTGTCAACACACTGGATAGACAACATCAAAGTCCAGACTGGGATCCAGTAGGGTGCTTTATTGCCCTCAAACACACAGTGTTCTCTTATCTCACTCTAGTTCCTATTCTGTGCTGCTTTTGTGGGAATGTGCCAGCCAGGTTCGATACAAGCTAAGCTTTGTCAACAGTGTCGCTGAAATACTGTGAAGTACTACAGAAAACCATTTCAACTTTTCATTTAGCTTTTATTGTCTACGGGACAATATGTTCTGGAGGGTTATTAAAGCAGAAATGGCATGCTTGTGTTTTTTAAAGTATTTGTGAACATGAACATTAATTTTGTTCCAAACCTGTAGGACTTACCTTCTTCTGCAGAACACAAGATATTTTGAAGAATGTTGGTAACCAGTTTTGGTGGCCATTGACTTCCACTGAAGGAATGAGTGAGTGAGTGAGTGAATGAGTGAGTGGAGTGAATGAATGAATATTCTCAAAATATATATTTTTTTGAGTTTCAACATTTGAGTTCCATAGGCTGCTAAATAAATAACTTATTTATATATACTCTTTGATATCATCTGTGGCAAAAGCTTTTTTAAACTTACCAAATGCTGGGTTGTGAATTCTTGGCTTCATCTTTTTATTAGCTTTTATTATTTTACTGCTCTTGCAAACTGAGAAGACTTTCGATCTGGTCTCTTAAATTCTTTACAGACTGAGGGACACGTCTACAATATTTTCTGTGCATAATGTAGACATGCTGTCCATAGAGCTTGTACTGAACCCGGAACCTTCCTATAAAAGCAGACCAAAGTTGTTTGCTTTGGATGTGAATGACGCAGTTTGCCCTTGAGAGCCACATACTGGCTCAGACCTATTTGAACAGCCACTTGTTGCTATGCTGTAGCCGATAGAAAAGAGAGAATGTGCGTGTGTGTGTGTGTGTGTGTGTGTGTGTGTGTGTTTCAAAGTGCAGAGAGGTCTTTTCTCTAAATTTCTGTAAGCCAGGCTTATTAAAGATGATTCACATAGTGGACAGTGAAAATTGCAGCTAATTGGTCTCTCTCTGTTTCTTTTTCCAGCGTCTGATTCAGAGCAGGATGCTGCAGTGAAGTTGGAACAGGAGCGAGCTGAGATACTTGCCAAATATGAAAAGGTGAGAGAAAACAGCTGCCATTCACTCACCAGCCAAATACCACTTCCAAGAAAAACTGAAACACAGTAAACACATGTTCTGATCCAACCAGATACCTCCTTCCATCATAGTTCACAACCTGCAGTTTTCATCTGGAAGATTCTCTGTATTGTCATCTGTTGCTAAAACATTGTCTGTCAGATTTTTAGCAAACATTTCTGTTATGTTTCTGATTTAGAATGCCACAGAGAATAGGGCATCAATAGGGCGTTAGAATATGTTTTATTATAACAGCTATCCTGTGAAACACCTGTTCTCACCGGCTGTCGTGTATATCACTCATGTTGGGAGGCCAACTTTTATCCTTAAGTCACGTCTGGCATTTTATCTTTACAGACTTTCCAGACGACACACTTGTTAAAATACATATTTGTCAAGTATGTAAGCTTACAGGATTGAAAGTGGTACTAAAAGTAAAATGAAAACTTATATTACATGAATGCAATAATGATCATGTGGTAATAGATATCAGCTCAGAACGTTATGACTTCCTGTGACTGTTGTAAGAGTAATGTGTGTTTTCACTAAAGGGTTTCGTGATTTTTTTTTTCCTCATGAAATCTCTCGTGCGTGTCCGGTTTGTAAATTGATCGTTTAAATTAAGTGTAATCTGAGCTCTCATTAGGGGGCTCTAATTCTGTAACGTGTCTGTTAATTGGATTGTGATATGCTCCCGTACACTGGGATTCGTCTCTTGACTCAGAAAGCATGACACCTATGCTCTTATGTTATGTGTTTGTTTTTTTTACGTACATATTTTTTCACCCTCTAAAATGCTACATTTGCTACATTTTTGCACTATTAGCTCCTAATGCCCTAAAAATTTATAGTAGTTCGGCCAAAAATTTAAAATCCATTTTATTCTTTATTCTGTTTATAAAAAAAAGCTATTTATTCACCTTCATGTTATTCAAAACATGTATGATTTTATTTCTGAAGAATAACTTTTTGGTTTTGTTTTTTTGTTTGGTTTGGTTTATTTATTTATTGGTTGGTTTAGTTTGTTTTTTGTTTGGTTTGTTTATTTGTTTTGTTTTAGAATAGGGAACAATTTTCACTATTAACTAGTTTTGTTAGCATGCCTATTATTAATGTATTGGCTGTTTATTAGTACTTATAAAGCACATATTCTGCATGACCATATTCTTCATCCCTAATCCTACCAAATACCTAAACTTAACAACTACCTTACTAACTATTAATAAGCAGCAAATTAGGAGTTTATTGAGGCAAAAGATGTAGTTGATGGTTTGTAAATAGCAAGAATTTGTTTTGTTTGGGGTATTTATTGTTGTTGTTTTTTTGTTTTTTGTTTGGTTTGGGTTCTTTTTTTTATTTTATTTTTTTTATTGTTTTGTTTCGTTTCGTTTCGTTCCATTTTCTGTTTGGTTTGGATTTGTGTTTTGTGCATTGTTAATGAAAGTAAAAGAGGACTGGAGCTTTAAGGCTCCAGAATGAGCAAGCAAAACAGCATAAAAGCAGTGCATGTATGATTCATGTACTATATTTTTCAGAAGCCAAAGAGTATCTTCTACAGACTGAAATGTAAGTCTTTATTCACCAAAAGTCTCGTGAATTTTTATAGACATGCTAAGAAAAAGTTGAGATGTCTCATTCATGAAGAAATCGTTCACTTCAGTCTGATTTAACAAAAACAGTCTGAATCATTTGTTCACAGACTGATTCACTGAATTCAACTCACTGATTTATCCCCAGAGCGGTGTGTTAAAAGTAGGGATGCACGATATATCGGCCACCATATCGGTATCGGCCAATAAATGCTCATTTTTTCTGTTATCGGTATCGGCCTGATAAGAAAATTTGGCCGATATCTTAAAGCCGATAAATAATGCATTATTTCCTTCAGAGACACTTCAGATGCGCGCTGTTCGTTTGCAGCCTTTTGTGCAATTGTATGTTGTAATATTAGTTTAGGTTAGGTACACTTTATTGTCCCTGAGGGAAATTTGTCTTAGGCTAAGAAATACAACCACCACATCACATACAACACACAGTAGTAGAGAAAAAAAAATTAAAAAAGATAATAAAACAAATATTGTGTTTATTTGATGTATATCTGATTTATCTCATATAGAATGCGTTTGGTTAAGTTAAAAAGAGCGCTTCAGTTTACCGGTGATCGTCTTTAGCTCAG